AAAATTCTTTTTTACGTGATAAAATCAAAATGTGATTGACGCAAATCATTACCAAATATGCAAATGTCCGCTATGCTAAAAAAAGATCATACCAATTAACACTTGAAATTGTTTTTTTTTTAAGATGATGATTATATAATTTTTCCATTATTTCTAAATTGGCCCAATCAGAAGGTATACATATAAGAGGTTTATTATTAGATAAAATCCTGACTGTATTAGAATTTGTCAAACCAAATAGTTGATCACCAGTATACTTGGATAAAATTCTAATATGTTGCCAAACTGCTGTGGGAGTATTTTCAACAAAACTGCCCACTTTGTTCAATTTATTCCAAATCTCAACATAACATAATCCATTTGATATTTTTTGGATAAAATTGCAATTAGTTCTCTTGTATGCATATGAAAATGATGATAAATAGCCATCACCTGCTCTATGCCATTCCTCATTTGACGAAAACCCCATTTTGAATATATTGATGGATATTTTATCTAGCAGAATTGATAGTGGTTGAAAACTAATATCAGTCAATAATTCTTTCAAAATTATTTGATCTTCAAAACCTATAACCTTTATGCCAGAAAATCTAGTCCCAACATTAAAAAATTTTTGGTAACAGTTAGAAATTGCTGCAGTAGAAGAATCTTCAACAGTAGTTGTAAATGAACCACACTGACAGCAATAACCAGGCAATTCAGGACTAATACTATTTCCTTTAATAATAGTAGTAACAAAATAATATCCTTTCAATTCTATTATAGTTTTCATACCAACTCTGAGTGGATATAGTGGTGAAATATTGTTTGTGTTTGGTGAAGCTTGAATCCACCATTCTTTAGCATTTATTCCATAATGTAAATTAGGAACAATCTCACCTTTAGAAAGTAAAGTTACGTGGTAATTTTTATTGGTATTCATTGGATTTATTATATAGGCAGCGTGAGATTCTTTTTTAATTAACTTATCTCTGCAGATCATTATTACTTTTCTACACATGATCGGCGAAACACGAATTAAAAATTTGCTTAGCCAACTTATATCTCACAATGCATGTGTCAATAATCTTTTGGTGATTGTCAAAAAAAATTTCCTACGAATAGTTCCGATCCAACATTAATAAAATTCTAGTTATCAACATGATCATATTTCTTTAATATCTCTTGGATCATATTTTCTGAATCAATATACATATATTATTAAATTGATAGAATTCATCACGGAACTAACTTTAATCGTTACCTACTAAACCAGGCCCAAAAGGGATTAAGATTTAATGTTTGGTATTTCAAACATAGGTAAAATAAAAGGTTATAAAATCCACATGATGCAATTGCATATTCCAAACCGTTTGATAAATTGTTTGTATCTTTATTAAAACTATAGAATTATCATTATGTTGCTTTTTAATTTTCTTTCTTATATAGTAGTATTTTCTAATTGGGTTTCCAAATACGTTTCATATAAGTCCAATCCTTTTTTTAACATGTCCTAGCATTTCATTGCAAAGTAGGGTTTCTATTTGAATAAGGTTCACTCAAATGATTTGAATGATTCGTGATTGATTTCGAGCATTCAAATCACATTGAATGATTATTCAAACCAAACGGATTCCTTATGTAGCAAATTTAAAGTTTCACTCAGAAGTTTAATGGTTAGATGAATATGATAGTTACGATAATGATTTTGAAAATAATCTAATAAAAAAGAAAAGTTGAAAAAAAGGAAAAAACAATCAAGTCATGTTAACAGGGTTTCTATTCGAATAAAACAAAACCAAATTCTGAAATTGTACTATTTATTATTACTATTGCAAAGCAGTCTTTGTAGGACAAGCAATTCTAAAAAAAGATCTCATGCAAAACATTTTGAATAAACTGAACAAGAACAGAGTATATGGACATTCAATATAATATAGTATAACCCTTGCAGATTGTATTGTATAAGTGTTAATAAAATGGTTATATATCATACCACACCAATGCTTAAATCCAACACAAAGGATTCAGTATAAAATTCTGTGTGATTAGTATGGGCAATACAATACCATCTACAAGGGTTATACCTAGTGAATCTCTACTTACTGACAAGGACACTATATCATGATGAAAGTAATAATAATGATAAGAATTGCAGGTGGTAAATATGTTTGCTATTTTTTTAAAATATACAAAAGGCTACTTAAAAATTTTTATTAATTTTTGATAAATAAATAAATATTCATTAAACTTCTTCACTTTTTTTTGACTCTTTTTTTAATTCTTTTTTTAATTCTTTTTTTAAATTCTTTTTTGAATCCTTTTTTGAATCCTTTTTTGAGTCCCTTTTTGAGTCCCTTTGTGAATCCCTTTTTGAATTGTTGTCCGAGTCTTTTTTTGGATCCTCTTTTAAAGAAACAATTTTATTAAACACATAACTATTCTTCTCACCATCGCCATCATGAACTAATTCAGAATCTTTATCAAGACAAAAATAACCAACACGAATAGCTTGAAATCGAACATTCTCATAATTTTTTTTAGAATAGTCAAATGATGATAGTGATGATCTGGTAATAATTTCTTTTAATCCAACTTCTGCTAATGAATTAGTAGCAATTTCTAAGCTATTTGGATTTATATCTGCCAAGAAACCATTTGGATTCCCATCTGGATTTTCTGATATGAATAAATTATTATATATTTGAACTTCTGATAATCGAATTGGAGATTGATGATTTTTATTGATGGTGGTAGGTGTTTCTGCTACCCAATGGATATATGTTTTAGGTTTTTTAACTGTAACTGGAGTTACATTCTCATACCGACATATCAAATGTTCTATATTTCCATTTGTGTCTTTTTTTAATCCTGTGCATGTGATCCAATGTGGAACATGTAATAAGCCTACTGTTTTACCAATTGCAAGACGATAATAATCTGGTGAGTCTTCTTCTCTAAAATCATCTTTTTCAATATAAATTACTTTACTAAATGGTACTACATGCTAAAAAATCATTTATTTATTTGTTATTAATATATCATCCATCATGTGCATGTTGAAAATTTTTTTTTGTAAGAATTAAAGATTCTCTCTCTATACATGAAATAGTTACCTCTCCCATAGATGTCTCTCTTGGTTTGAAAGGAACAATCAACTCTTCAACATAATCATCAGGTAGATTTTCAATTATTACTTTAATAGGATCTATAATGATCATTAATCTTGGAACATTGACATCTAAATAGTTACGAACATATTTTTCCAAACGTGATACTTGAATTGTTGAATTTGATGTGGTCACACCAAGTTCTAAAACAAATTGATTAATGGCTTCTGGTGGGATACCACGTCTTCTTAAAGCTGGTAGTGTATATAGCCGTGGATCATCCCAACCTTTTACATATTTTTCATTAACTAATCTTGCTATTTTTCGTTTTGATAAAACTGTATTATTAATGCTCAATCTACCAATCAATAAGTCAACCAACCAACCAACCAACCAACCAACCAACCAACCAACCAACCAACCAACCAACCAACCAATTAATATATATATATATATATATTAGTTGTATAATATTTTTTAAAAAATTAATAAAATAATGATAACTAAAAAAAACCAAACCTGTTAAACTCAAATTGAACAGGTTTATATACTTCAAGAGCATCACATAACCAATAATAAGATTCACGAGCTGTCCGGAATTCAAGTGTACAAAGTGAATGTGTAATATTTTCAAAAGAGTCACAAAGACAATGTGTGAAATCATAAGTTGGATAAATGCACCATTTGGTTCCAGTTCTATGATGTGGTGTGTGCAAAACACGATACGCAACCAAATCCCAAAATTGTGGATTTCCACTTTGCATGTCCATCTTCATACGAATGGTTACCTCTTCTTCCTTGTACTTTCCCTCCTTCATTTTTTGAAATTCAGCTAGTGATTCTTCAATTGGACGATTACGATGCACACACTCTTTACGTTCTCCATGATCATCACCACCTCGCATCTGTTTCATTTCATCAGGTGTACATGAACATGCATATGCTTTATCACGTTTAATTAATTCTATTGCCAATTCATAAAGGTTGTCAAAATAATCAGAAGAATATGTGATCTTGTATGGTGAAAACCCTAACCATTCTACCGCTTCTCTAATAGAAGTAAAATAAATCTCTTCCTCAGCTATCATTAGATAAAACAATACATTAATATAAAATATATATGCACATGTGCATTAAATTTTCTTTTGATTAATTGATTGATTGATTTAAAAGTGTAAACAAAGATTTTTACCTTCAGGATTAGTGTCATCATATCTATCAATGTTAATTTGTTATATAGTAAATATCATTGATAAATTAATCATCTTAGTTTAACGTTATTGATTCAAACCTTAGATAACATATTCCATCATATGCTTTAGCATATCCAAAATTTACATTGATAGCTTTTGCATGACCAATATGTAAAAATCCATTAGGTTCTGGAGGAAATCGAGTTACCACCTTACCACCAGTTTCTTTCAAATGTTGTTCCATTAACTCAGGTTTAATTTGTGGATTACCACCTGGTTTATGAAGTTTTGCAAGCTCTCCCTCAGTAAACATGATAGGGACTGCATTAGTTTTCGGTTTTACTTCTGATTGACTCATTTTTTAAATTTTTATTTTTATGATCGATTTGTCGATTGTTATTCATAATAATAGTGGGAGTATCACAAAAATTTGTACGACAATTCAAATAAAATCATTTTTTTTAAATTTATCTCTAAAAAAAAACAAAAAAAAAAAGAAAAAATGTCAACGAAAACTTCAGGGAAGCCTCTTCCATTACAATGTGTTAGAACATTTACTGCACATACAGGACCTGTACATATAGCAAAATATAATTCGACTGGTGAATATGTGCTTAGCGCTGGGCAAGATAAATTAATACGTCTGTGGAATCCTGAAACAGGACTAAATATAAAAACCTATTCAGGACACGGAAAAGAAATTTTGGATATTAGTATGTATGTATGTATCAAAAATATTAGAGGATATGATTGATTAGTTAGTTAATTAAGTTTTCTACAGAACTAGTGATCATACACGTTTTGTATCGTGTGGTGGTGATCAACAAGTATTTTATTGGGATGTTTCAACTGGTAGAACTATTTCACGTTTTGATGGACATTCCCAGGTACATATCATATATCGTTTTAAAAGAATGAGTACATATTCACTTTATTATATTAAGAATAAATCTATTTTATTTAGCGAATCAATTCAGTTGATTTCAATTTTGATGGAAGTGTGATAGCTAGTGGTAATTATCTATTTTCAACTGATGAATAATATTGCTTAATATTCAATACATAAATACTTATTTTCACAAAAATTTTTTGTAAGATCATTTGATACAACTATACAATTATGGGATTGCAAGTAATATTCATAATAGCAATCATAATATTCATATAATCAATAATATTCATTAATATGTATGTACATGTACATTTGCATTTTTTTTGTAGAGCAAGATCACGATCACCAATTCAAATATTAAGTGAAGCTAAAGATAGTATTACATCACTACTAGTTAAAGATTATGAGATTGTAGCAGGAAGCACTGATGGTAACATTATGATTTATGATCTTCGTATGGGAGCTTTATTAACTGATTATATTTCACGTGAGTCTTTAACATATTCACTATATATATTGGTCATTAAATTATAAAACTAATTAATTATTATTAAAAAAAAAAGACCCTGTAACATCAGTTACTTTATCAAGTGATAATAATTATATACTTGCTAGCTCTTTAGATAGTGTCATAAGATTAATGGATAAGGAGGATGGTAGGATGTTAAATGAGTATGTACCAAAACTAAAAAAACATCTACAATCATTTCACATTAACTAATAAAATTATTTTAGTTTTAAAGGTCACAAGAATTCAACTTACAAGATTCATTCATGTTTATCAAATGATGATTCTCGAATTATCAGTGGATCTGAAGATGGATCTATTTATATTTGGGATTTGTTAGATGTATTATCAACTATATCTTTTTTTTTTTTAAGATTATTTAATTTTAAAATTGCTCTCAATCTAATTATATATTTATATAGGGGAATCTATTAAAAACAATTGAAGCACATTCGGGTATAGTAACTTATGTAACATATCATCCTAGAATAGATGGGATGCTATCATCTAGTATAGACGGATTAGTTAAAGTATGGAAACCTTGAAATAAAAAATATATTTTGAGGTATTACAAATTTTTTTAATTCAAAAATCATTTGCAAATGATAAGATGTAAATAAATAATTTATAATTTATAAATCTTATTACTATCTACTTTTAATTTATCTAATTCATTTAAGTTATCCCACCATTTAAACAGAAAATTTTCAACAATAAGTTTAAACCATGGTGTAAATATCCAATCTATTGATAATGATTAAAAGAAATAAATAAATAAATGTTCAAAAACAATCATAATATAATTTGCTTACCTTTTGGATCACTAAATTTAGATTGTAATTCATCTTTAGAAAAATATTTTGTTTCTTTAACTTCATTTAGATTTATGTTAAGATCAACATTTGTACGAATAATCAGAATATAATCAACTAATGATTCATTTCAAAAAAAAATTTTTTTAATATCTCAAAATAAAGATATTGTTTTTTTTAATTAAAGATATATTTATTTACTTTCATGTTCGCCCCAAATATCATCAGATGGTGCCAAATAATGTATTCTAGTTAAAAATTTAAATTTATCCAAAGGTACTTGCTCAGCTTTAATTCCTAATTCATGCTCTAATTTTCTTTGAGCTGCACGAAGAACTCCTTTAATAATATAATTATTAGTGTTTTCATGCAAGAGTGTTAGTTTAAATATTAAATGGTCATTATAATTATTTACCAATTTGATTTTCTTCTTCTAATTCTAATTTAGTATTTAATGGATGAGAACAACATGTATTTGTCCAATTATTTGGAAAGGTGATTTTATCTGATGATCTTTGTTGTAATAATAATTTATCCTCAGAATTAAATAAAAATACAGAAAATGCTCGATGTAACAATCCTTCTTTTATATTTTTCATGAGATGACCTTTGATATATATGTGTGTGTGTGTGTGTGTGTGTGCATGTAAATAAATATATACATATATATACTATTAAGTTTAGATATATAGCTTACAATTTTTTTTGGTATCAGATCCAATTTTTTTGTCATTTTCATCAACGAGAATACACATTTCCTCCATCAACCTAATTTGTTCTTCATCATATTCGTCAAGGTTTACTGCCATAATTTATTTTTTTTTTAAAGTTCAAAAAGAAAATAAAAAAATAGTGTTACATATTATGGTGA